TAGTTCCATGCTCACCTTTGCCATTTCTGTTTGTATCTACTTCTGTTTAATAAACTCACTTGCACTAGAGCTGCCGCATTTTGGTCCTAAATAACTCCCACACGGCTTGCCCCGGCAACCCGTGACAGCCACTCTATTTTATAGAAATTTTATTAAATATGTTTTAATATTTTGTTTTATTTTTAGTCCTAATTTGTTAAGCACTTGTTGACTGTGTAGGAAGAACGCCTTTAAAACAGGAAGAGACCTTCTGCAGAACGATGCTTGCGCAAACTGCCGCAAATGGTTGGGGCGTGAGAGGACAGAAGAAAAACAGCGTATAGGCAAATAGTATGGGAGAAAGCAGCACTTAAGGCACGTGGAGGAGAGGGGTGGAGGAGAAGTTCTCAGTGGATCAGGGGAAGTCCTCCTGCAGTCTGAGCCTCTTGCAGGGTCACCTGATCCTGCTTTATGCTGCAGAAAAATGATTAATTGGAGCAACTGATATGTTCTTGTCATGAATAAATTTGTCATGTTCAAGTCAACCTGCAGATGGAGCCTTTACATCTCATTAATGCTGTCAATGCAAACAGCAGTGGGGAATCTGACCCAACTCACTCTCATTTAAAATTTCACAGCAGTGAAAAGTGCTGAGGTGGAGCTGCACATCCAAATATGTTGGAGTGGTACTTCAGGTTTATGAAAGAATAAAAGACAGAACTTTATCCTGTCTGCACTGAGTTAGCCAAGGTTTAAAGTAGATTTACCTCCAATCATCATTTATTAAATCTGCATCCCTCGTAGAGCACCACCCTTGGCCGTCTGTAGCATCCACTAATCCTGATTACACATGGAGAGACAGGATGGGGTCTCCACCCACCACACCCCACCCAGAGATGAACGCATCACAGACTGAGGACGGGATTGCGACGACCACAGGAGGACACGCGTACAGAAGGGGAGACGGGACGATGAAGGTGGAGGAAAGCTAAACTTTACCAACATGGACAGCAGAGGGAGGAGAGGAACTGATGGATCTTTCAAACGCTCATCCATAAAACGCAGCGCGTCATCTGCATCACAGAAGGTAGGATGGAAAACTCACCTGGGAAGGTGGCAATATTTACTGCGGTGGCCTGGATGAGATCAGTACTTACAGCATCAAATGGTCAAAAAGTACCTGAAATGTTACCTATAGTTCCTCTTTTTGAACTGTTAAAGAAGCTCATCGATAACTGCAATTAAAGCAGGTGGTTAAACAAGCATTAAGAGAAAAAGCTCTTTAGTAGTCACTGCAGGTAACATCAGCTGTATACATGCACAGCCTTCTATAGGATGCATGCATGCTGCAAGACTTCTGTTCTGTCACTGGACCCACCTGGGCTCCACCCCTGCACCTCAGACTTACCTTAACTCTCAGAACTTGAATATCCTGCAATCATTCCCCTTGAGATTGTTTAGCATAATGCTGCCTCTTACAGATGTTTTGAGTGTAAGTTAGCCGGTGGGTGTGAAC